GGCTACTCAAATATTTTACGTTTTTGATACTAAATTAACTTCTGAAGTATAATTTTTTATTGTTTTTATATTTTTCAATATATTTATTTTGTTTGTACAAAATAAAAAAATAATTTTTAACGATACAATAGTCTTCGTTAGGCTTAACATCGACGAAAATTCAACGTGAATCGACTTGCAACGGAGAAAAATTTCAACACGGGATAAATTAATATATTTTTTCGTACATAATTGGTTATCCGAAAAATAAGTTATCCGAACAACCCCAGTCCCCAATTGATTCGGATAAACGACGCTCTACTGTATTAATCATTGGAGTATTAAAACTGACACTAAACAAGCATTTTACACAATTTGCCAATACTCCTATACTTTGTGGCGTGTCCAGAAAAAATGTCAAATGTGGGAGCGTGACATTTATTACAATATTCAAGCTTATTATTAATACCTAAAAATAAAGAATAGAGAAAAATGAGTGCAAAAATGTTAACAAATTACGCAATTTTGTCTTCATACAGCTGAATAAAGGGGCCTAATTTGTCCAATCTGCTCTTCGTTAAAGAAAATGGGTAGATAAATGATCGAGAACCAATAAATTGAAACGAATAAAAGATACGAAATAAAGAATTTACAGATTGGTTATTGTTACAGAATACCCGTTTTATTCTGATATTATAAGTAAATGCGAGTTGTCATTCAGAAATCAAAGTTTATCTCTAGAAAAGTATAACTGTAAACACATATGCGCAATATATATAAAACATGTTTGATCTAGAGTTCTATCAGGCAGCATTTTTTAAAACTCATCTGTCCTGTTGGCACTAGAAGGTATTTTTTTAGCAAACACATTTTGGATTCGGCCTGGCCCGACATATCCAGATAAACCGAAAAAATCCTAGGAATTTTCGACTCCGTCAGGAGTTAATCCCGAATCCCCCCAGAGCAGCGGGATGGCACCTTAATCGCTCGACCATCCGATCGCTATCCATTAATCAAAACAATACATATTAATGTCGCTGAATAAAATCAATCATTTATAAAATAAAATTAAAATTTGTTGTACCGGTACATCGGTAACCTATCAAATAAATGAAATAATGAATAAATTAATATATTTATTGATTCATTGGCTATTGAGTGGTCATCTAACAATGTAATATGAGCGCTTTTTATATTATATTAATAATAAAGTACAGGTAACCCCCGTATAACACGGTAGTTACGTTCCAAAAAATTGCCGTGTTATGCGAATCCGTGTTATACTAATTTATATAATTTACTTTGTATAATACCTATGACTGATTATATTTACCATATAAAATGGACTTCCAAAAAAGGCACCGATAGAGCCTGCAGCAGCACCAGCGACAACACTCTTAATAGCACTGACTTCACCAGATTTACCAATTAATTCTTTCTTCTCGAAATTATCATAAATTCCTAATCTAATACCATTCATGACAAATTGATACCATAAAGCGGGAACTAGACCTTTCTGCAAAGCCAATATTCCATCGGCCTTTGATACTGCATAGAAAGCGTGTAAAATATTTTTATAATGAATTTTATATTTTCCGGGTTGCCTTAATTCTCCTTGAAGTTGCATTCGTGTCTTTACAACGTCGAAAGGATTTGTTACAACTCCTGCACAACACGCCGCAACTCCTCCAATCAACAATTCCATTTTATTTCATTCAACTAAAAGTAAATTATTTGAATTTTTTTTTGGCCTAAATCCATAAACTACATAAGACTGCAGGAATACACAACGTGTTCCGACACAAGCGGAACCGGAACCTGTTACATGACGCAATCTCAATTGCCATATTTAAATGAGAGAATATTTTTGATTCATTTTATATCTTTTATTTGATTAANATTCTCGAACCGTGTCAGAGTGAATCCGTGCTATAAAAGTACCGTGTTATACGGGGGATGGTACCAATTCTCGAACCGTGTTAGAGCGAATCCGTGCTATAGAAGTGCCGTGTTATACGGGGGTTACCTGTACTTATAGCCAAAATTATTTTACAGCTTTATGATCGCTTTTATGAATGCTCACGTAAAGAAATTTTTACCGTAGAGTAAATTTTAATCGAGTAGAAGCGTTTTCATCTTGTATTTAAGTGAATAACAAAGTCATTATAAATTTATTTTTAATATACTAGCTGCCAAATATAAATTTTTCTTATTTATTAAGTTTATAATCTTGCACTTATGCATTATGTTAATGTTTCTTTTGAATAAATAGAGTAAAAGATTAGAGTAAAACAGAGTTACATTAGAGTAAAACAGAAAAAATAGTAATAAATTTTTGAAAAATGATTTGAAAATATTTTTTTCAGGAAATAAACGTCGTAATTTAAAAAAAAATATTCAAACTCGTAATATCACACCTCGCTTGAATTAAAAAAAAATACACGTGTGCTATTTTTAGACAATTATAAAACATTTTGTCAAAATTTATATAAATTTGTAAATAAATAAATATCTAAAAATTTCAATGTTTCATCATTATAAAATTATGTTTTTTAAAGTTTGTTTGGAAAAAATATAGAAAACACAAAATTCATTTTATCTGCTTTTACATTTTCCATTAATTTAAAAGTTGTGAAAAAACTAATTACATAAAAAAATTGGTTAATATGGCTTCGTGATCTCACATTTACAACGATTGGCTTAATAATTCACAAGTTTGGATACATTTTCTTTGAATAAATACAATGTTTGACGGCCGAGGCAGTTATGGCGTCAGCCTACCTCTATGAGCCTATGTCTTGGATTCACAATCGAATTCAGGCGATGAATAAAAATAACGAGAAAAAAACGCGCAAACGAGATTTTTCATTAGTTTTTTTTTTTATTTTAGTTTACTAATAAATATGAAGAATTTTTTCATTCAAAGAAATTCTTTTAATTTTGGGAATATAGGCCTCTAGGACAATAACAATAGAATTTATTTAAGAAGATAATTAAATATGAAATCTTCGTAGGAATATTATCTAAATTCGTATTTTTAGTTGAAAATGTGGCACAGATAAAAGTTCAAATACGTTCTGTTTGGAAGATAGAACTAAATCTATAGCTTACAAGTACTGTATACCAAAAAGTATAATCACGTACTCTGAATATGGCCTATATATGAACTATATTTGTAAAAATTGCCCCAAAATATCCAAATGTAATATAAATATATTGATATTTAAGACAGCTTAAATTTAATTGTATACAGTATTTTGTTATTTATAAACGGTTTAATCCTTACGTAATAAATTTTTCGATAATTAATTAATTTAAAATTTGATCTTTTGAATAATTTGATATATATTGTTCATTTAATGTATTATATGGGGGAATTATATAAAGGAATAATTTGATGACGATTTAAATTCAATCGCATGAATGTCATATCCGTATTTGCAATGATTATTACTTAACCTGTACATAGCAGAACCCGTCTAACGCAGAAACAGAAAGGAAAATCGGGATCTTTATCCGATTTAACACAAATTTAACAAGAAGTTTCCAAGCCTAGCATCTATAAATTATAAAAAAATCAAAAAATACACTACACAATACAGAATAGCAAAATACAACTACTTTATTACAGTAATTTTATTGGGATTTGAACGAAAACTTTTTGCGTATTTTTTTTAACAGCTGTTTTTACTTAACATAAATATGTGATGTAATTAAAAGTTGTGAAATTTAACACATTATACTTGATGTGAGATTGTATTCTTTGTTTTGAAGCTTATTTTAAACCTTTTTACATCACCTTTCGTTTGAATAAAATTAAGTCGAAATGTCTGCAGATAAAATCCACATCGGGCATATTATGCATGCTTTCTAAGTAAAGGATCTCACGCTATACAAACAATAAAAATATACTCGTACCGTGTATGGAAAGATGCTTCTAACTCCGAATGTGTCAAACGTGGTTTTCAAAGTTTCGTTCGGAAAATTTTATACTTAAGGATACAAAACGTACGGGCACCCAAAAACTATCGAAGAGAAATTGAAAAAAAAAAAAAATTGTTAAAGATTGACGAATTTGCTCGTGAGTTTGCAATAAATCTTAGTGTGTCAGAACGTATTGCTTAAAAACTTCATCCACTTGAAATGATTGTAAAACATGCTGATAATTATATTCCGCACGCAGTTTTTTTTTCACTTATGAAAAAACGAACTGAATTGAGTGTAATTTAATCGGACGAAAGTAGGCAACTGTAAGGTTATATTTTATTTTTAAATTGAGATTCTTTTACGGACGAATGAAAAAATTAAAGTTAAAATAAAAATATTTGTTATTAACCGAAAATTTGTTGTAGCTGGTAGTGATTGTTCGGTCGAGTACCGAGGTACCACTGTATTTGATTAATGTGATTTTGATATACGCGGTAACATATAGAAATTTATTAATCACATTAATTAACCTATAGTAGATAACCCGTATATAGCGAAAACCTGTCTATTACGAAAGAATTGTTCCGTCAGGGTCCCTTTATAGACCAGTTTGACTGTATTAATATTATATAATAATATAATATTTTATACTATAATTTAATAAATGCTGCAACTAGCATAATTCATATTTTTTAAAGGACTTCTCTTATTCTTTATCCTTCCTTGAAATTTTTAAATATTTTATGAAAAGCAGCAAAAACTAAATTGCATTTTAAGAGCTTTTTGATTTCTCTCTAAGAAAACACATAAAACGGATTATTAACTTATTAACATTTAGAAAATAATATTATTTCATCATTCATCTTACAGGTGTTAATCTAAAAAGATGACTTGTGATAAAATCATGGGCGTCCGCAGAAAATTTTCCAGGAGAGTAAAGTTTAAAAACAAATAATTACATCATAAAATTTTCACAAAACAGGAAGGGTTTTCACAAATAGATTACAAAATACAGTACTGCATCAATACAAAAAGACAGACAAACATCCCATGGTCGAGTTACGTATCTCAATCATTTTTACGATTATAATTTGTGAAACTTTTTACTCGATCCAATGGGGAACGTTCCCTCTTTGTCTTCTTCTGCGGATGCTCATGGATAAAATATTTCTCTTGCTTTGATATTTATATTTTAATATATTTATATAAAAGACTTAAAATCAAATATTATCAAGTAAACTAAAATAAAACATCCTTTCAAAATTCATTATTTGGGAGACGTTCGCCCAGTAGGCCTACCAGAATCTAAGATTTTTTTCAATTGGTTTTATTTGTATATGGCAACGCGACACATGAATAATCTGCCCAAGTGAAATGTCTCCCGGGAGATCTTTTATGGAAAACTACATGTGGTCATCCCGTTGGAGAGGCGCGAACCCACAACCAACTACGAGTATTCAATGGTTTATCACTCGGCCGCTGGTGGACAAGGTAAATTAATGTTAACTGACTTAATTTTGCGAACGCATCTTTTTTATTTATATGGGTGTCTTAAGGTCAGTTTTTGCGCTAATGTTGCTAATGCACCATTTAAGCGGAAAAAAAATTGTTAAGGAAAAATTTTCTGTTAGCGAACCCTTTGTTAAATATTTCGAATATCACCACTGGGTCTAATATGTAAGAGTCTGTAATCTGTTGACCTCTGTATTCAATATAAGCCAAAAATTTGACCCTTGTATAAAATACACTAAACACTTTTCATTTTCAGAACCAAAATTCGTGTTTTTTTATTTGACTTCCCCTTTTCATTGTAGCCTTCTAATTCGATTTTTCCTGTCGTGCTTTAATTTTGTAAACTTTCTCTTTTAAATTAGAATTTCGCTCTTTGTAATTCTTTTTCTTATTGCTGACCTTTTGCTTCTTTCACCAAGAATGGGAGATCTACTCAATTATTTTCTGTAAATAACTTGAAGTCGACACCATACTCCTAAAAAGGAAAGATGAAACCTGCTTATGTAATTTTTCTTAATAAAATATATTTTGTCATTGTCCAGTACTGGAAAACGGATGTTATGATGTATGATATATCAGCTACTGCTCACCTAATTCCGAAGGTGAATCATAAATGAATTCTGTATTCAGTAACTCTAAATATCGGGTCAGATATTTAATTTGAGTAATTAAAAACATAACAAAATGCTTACAAGTTTTACCTTATTTAATATAGATTATATCAGAAAAATAAAACAAACTTTTTATTAGTGAAAAGAAAACAATAATGTTATTATAACAGATATAAATACTTGGCTTAATGGGAAATCTACTGTTGTTTATTTCATGATAATTTTTCTAGCTGATGTTCATAATTAGTAGCCTTTAAAAACTTTTTACAATAGCTTTAGGATCATTTTATCACATTACATATGCAAAGTTTTGAAATCTATCAAATATTTTTTTATGTATATAATTTATAAAAACTAATAATTTCTAAATTTTCAATGCAAATATCTTGAAATTGTTACGCAGGTCGTGGGTTCGCCATTACTGATATGTATTCTCACACTTTAATATCATATTTCTTGTCATACTCGTGTATTGGACGTCATATAACAAGAGATGTAGTAAATGTAATAAAATTATAATTTATTTCCCCGAAAAGCCGGCAAAACTTTAATCACTGTACTATTTCACACATCAATCTTCATCCGATTGCCCTAATGACAAGTCAGAACTTATTGGTTTGCATAATTACTCGAACAGTCATGGCTATTATAACTGGTGATGAAAAGGACGTGGACAGAACTTTGTCCAGCACTGGGTGTTCCCAGTACAGGACGAACTTGTAGCGGATAACTATTCTAAGTGATATTTCTCATAAGTCATACAGAACTTTTTACCCAAAGAAACCTCATAGGGATCACTTAGCGCCAATTGTAACGATCAAAATCCAAGCGCCGTAACTGAAAACACAGACCCTTCACCACAAAAAAAAATATTCCAATAAGAATAACTCAATATGTATCATTTGGCACTTAAGACCGTTCTCCACTACTGCGACGATTTAATCCATAGCTTATTCGTCATATTCTATCATATTTCACACTCTTTCTAAAATATATTAATTTAAGCGATGGATTTTACTAAGAACAGAAAATATCAAATATTCTTATATTGCTTTGTTTCATATTTGCTTAAATAGCAGTGCTGTTGAATGATACGCTATGTGTCATTCAACAGAACTGCTATTGAATAACATGAAATTGTTCGCCGTATTGCTATTTGTTCAGTACGATGCATGTCATTTTGCCAAGTCACTTTATAGCATGAATATAACACGATTCTGTAAGATTTTAAAAGATAAAAAACTATGTAAATCTATAGAAAAATTTTCAACTAAAATATAGAAATAGGATCACATAAATATTTTAAATATGAGATATTTATTCATATTATTTAATGAACATTTTGCGAGTTTTTCAGATTTTTTAAATCAAATAACAGATAATATTATTTTAATGTAGGCAAATAAAGTTTGTTTAATAAAATGATAAATATTTTTCGGATAATTGGGACGATTTATTCTTAATTTAAAGACCTTCCAAAATATTTTATTTTATTCTAGAATATTTATTATATTCTAGACATGTACATTCTTTACAAACCCATCTTTAATAATAAATTTTTCTTCATGTAATTACTCCTTATTTTAAATGACAATTAAGAATTACATTCTCAAGGTTCTTCGGTGAAAATCATGAATCACTCGATTTAATTCTTTTCCAAGTTTATGTAAGCTTTGCATATCTTTAAACACCTTCATAATTATCCATCTCGTTTTTCATAATTTTTATTTTATACAATACCCTATATTTATATATTGTATATTATTGTCGTATAGAAAGATCAGTTTAACATAATATAAGTAAAATTGAATAAACATAATGATTATTTTCGTGTAAGAAATGTTCAAAAATCAGTGGTCATGAACTATTTTCCGTTTCTTCTCGAATATAAAAAATTCAGATATAAATTTAGATCAAAAGCAATACAAAAGTTATTCTAAAAATTGCGAAATCTGCACACTTCTCAATTTATTATATAATGTAAATTATTGAGATATATTATTATTTAATGAGATTATTTAAGTGTTTTATTCAAATAAATAAAAAAAATAATTATTTTTTATTTATTTGAATAAAACACTTAAATAATTAATTATCTTTAATTACTTTCATTTAAAACCATCATTGCTTATATTTTTTATCACTTTTTTCCTTCATTAAATATAACATTTCCGCATGAGATTCTTGAATTTTATTCACCAAGCAAATTAAATTTAAATTAATCGAAGGTCTTTTAAAATTTAAGTTATTAAGAAATTAAGCCAAGCATTTTTTAAAAAATATATATATATAATATTATTTTTCTTAATTTCCGGCTGACTTATCTCATTAATTCTAAATTTAGTTTTTTTAAACTCCGTCCCTGAAAGCACCAATAGAAAATAATACTTGTTAAACGTCATTGTTATTCACACTACTTCGTGACGTCACGGCTGGTTTGAATTATTTTGCAAATCATTTAAGCTACTTAAACACTTTTATTCCATTTCCTAAACAAGAAAATAAAGAATTTAAAATAATTTGAAAAATTCATTTATTCCATATTCTAGTTTATTTAATTATTAATAAATTATTCGTGCTTTAGACATGTCCATCTTTTATTATGCAAATTATTAGTGTGTGTGCTGCGACACGTTTCCTTACGTTTCAACATACTTTGCGCTTTTTAAAATACTTATTTTAAAAATTTCTATAAAATTAAGAGTTTTTAAAACATTCTTTCTTCAGGAATTTAAATATTTTCATAGATAACATTATTATATTTACATAAACAAGTAACGCAATATATTATCTCTTTTATAGACTAATTATATATATATATAATCAGATTTACTTTACAGAAATTAGTTTATTAGTTGATAAGACATAATAAAAATACAAATTAATTAGTTAAAAATGCATAAATTTATAAAAAATTAACATAAAAATTGGAGAAAATTAAATCTATCTTTGTATTTCAAATACATAATTTTATTTGAGTCTTTTTACTTTTAAATTTTTTCAAATTCTTTATTAAATTCTAGAAAGAAATGTAATAGGACAGACAAAAATCTTTTATTTTAACGAACATTAAAAAAAAAATTAATAAAAGATCTATTTATCAGTATATTTCCGCATTTTTCAATAAAATAGAATCATTTAACTTTTGATACTCGTTATTTTAATTTTTTATTCTTATTTTTTTCAAAACAGGTAACTTCTTCAATCATTTTGACACGAGATGTATAGAGAAATGTTACAGCGCGATTCAAAATATCTTTTATCCATTCAAAAAATAAAAAAAAAACTACGTAGCTGTTCAAATAAATTTTATGCATGGATCACTTTCACTTTTTAAGCATAAATTTAATAATCCCACATATATATTATTTTTTATTTAAAAAAAAGTATATAATGAGAGTTACTCTTTTGCAAGCCATACTCGTTATACATTTACGGATGATTAAAACTCACTTTATATGAATTTTTTTTTCTTTTAAATGTTTTGATAATTGGGTAAAACATAGTTTAAAAAATTCGCAATAAAACTAGGAAATTCTAAAATTTATGTATTTTTTAATGTAAGGAATTTTAGAGACCCATTTTAAATTTAAATCAATTTTGAAATGAAGTACGGCTCGTATAAGTAAGGCAACGAGTAATAAACTAAAGAAAAAAAAAGAAAAGAAAAATAAAAAAACTAGTGAAGGTTGTCATTCATTCGTGTTTAAAAAACTTTTGTTACGCAAAGAAACACGGTCCGTTAGTCACGTGTATTGTCCATCGTATCAGTTACAAGATGGTTACACTCGACACTGATCAACAGCCAATCGCTTACAAGGTGAGTTCAGGTAGACTATAGTAAGTCTCCATAGAAAAACAGAAGTGGAAAAGTACTTACAGGTGTGACAACGGCATAAGGTAGGTCTGCGTTATTCGGAATTTAATGCACCTTAAAATTCTATAATATTACTTAAACTTCACAGATCAAAATGGTCGTGTGCGGAACTACCGTAGTCCCATGTACGACGCATAGTTTATATCCCGTGCAATTACCTGTTTGCCCACTTACACCTATACCCGTATGGAAGCAATCGTAGTAAGTTTATTTTTTTATTGCTTTTTTTTCCTATTAAAAAGTATGTTTGTAATTAAACGAAGCGCCCGTACAGAAATAACCATGCTCTTTTACTTGAGAATCTCGTATGTGTAAAAGAATGTTAAATATGTCACGCGTGTTTTCATTCAATAAAAGTGTTTAATTCTTAAAACGTGTACTTCCGTACTTTTAGAAGCTTTTATGGTAAATTCATTCGAGTAAATACTAAGCTAAAGTGGGTCTGTAACAGGATATGATGGAATTCTTCCACCAAATTCACCGACATTCTGACACCTTTTATCCGTTTTTGGTATATTTCTTCATCTTTTGTTAAATCTGATTCATCTTTACATTTTTTAAAATATTATTTATTATTTTCTTAATTTCACTTATTTAATTTTAAGATTTCATTTTTATTTTGTGTTGCTTCATGTTTATTTTTCTACAGACTCACGGATTTATCCATAAAACATGGCGAAATAGTTTTTAAAAAAATAAGTAAAGATGAAACTTGATTTTTTAAAATTTGCTTACTGATTATTGTGTAAATTTTTAGTTAAATTTTTATTATCTAATGTTAAAAACAATGAGTTTGTATAAGAAGAAATTAAGTGCGTAATCTTCGATCAGTTTCATAGAAAATAAATCATTAAAAAATAATTTTTCAACATTAAAATGGAACAAATTATCTAATAAATACATCAGAAAATAGTCTCATTATTAGATTAATTATAGCCCCAGCCATTTGCTTATAACATTTAAAATTAACATTAAATATAATATTACTATTATGGGGAGATAGACTAAAAGCGAAAATACATCTCACAACTCGACTATAAGCGAGATTTAATAGAAATTATGAATCTTCTTAAAGATCCTGCGCATTTTAACGGTAACAATTTTAATTTCTTTCAGTTATATAGATGCAGCATGCATTTTAATCTTTGGATCATTTGTTTTATAGTGGAATGGAACAAGTATGGACTACAGAATTCCATAATTTATTTTCGCAATATCTACCGCATTTGTGGTCACTTTGGCCGAGTTCAGGACGACCAATCGGACCTTGGCACAACTTTGTAGATTCAGCTAAAGTGCGTTTCTGCTGCGATGTAAGTATACCCTTAAAATCTGTTTAGTCAGCATCAAGTAATAAAGAAGTGTCATGCAAAGACACTTCGATAATGCCACATAATCATTACCAAGCATTAAAATCAAAAACAAAAACAAAAAAAAAAGGAAAAGAAAAAGGCCAAATTTAAAATATAATCAAAAACATTGACCCGAATGGACATTGTCCATTTTACCTTTCATTTCAGCTTCTGATCATCGTTACTCGACTATTGAGTAATAGGAATCATTATAACACTAACCTAATTTTACAAAATAATTATTATAATCTATTCTTTCTTATTACATTACGTAATATTTATTGTATTCTTTATTTCTACTCGAATAAACGCTTATTAAACTTACTCGTCATCTTGTTAGAAAAACTTTGTTGTCATCACCTCGTCGCTATTATAAGTGCATTTAATTCATAAATTTATAAAAATTACTTCGTATCTAAGACTACTGATAACAATTTTTAGTAGTCAAAATTTATTAAATTCAATTTTTTAATCTTAAAACACCTTACTTATGAGAAGCAAAACGGAGTGAATGAAGTATTTATGACAATAAACAATCGGGTCAGTATAAGTGATAAGCTAGAATGTAAGTTATAATATATATAGCAGCCATAAAAAATTAAGTTCTTACAAAGGACAAAGTGCAGTTAGATTTTTATTATAGTGCAGATATGCTTTACAAAGATATAACAATATTACAGCAATAAACTTTAGGAAAGTGCTAAAAAAGAAGATAATGCGGAAGTAAAATTAAAATTTGGAAATTTGAAATTGTTTTAAAAAAAATTATATATATATATATATAATAATATATTTATCCGCATTACAACTAATATTTATTGAAGATGAGACCTCAAGGTCTTATCTACAATAATCATTGTTGTCGAAAATATTTATTATCCCTTGTTACTATATTAATAATATTCTATTATTTCCTGCAGAACAACTAATTTTACGTCAGTTGGATATGTAATCTTTTTTAGTTTCGGGTTTTTATAAAAATTTTAAATATTTAATAACATCCTTGTACTGCTACATTGATGAAGTAACGATCCCTCGAGCGGAACATCCATAAGTTTTCATTTAAATATATAATTTTATATCTTTTTAACTGGATGATCTAACGACTTAATGCTATTCTACTGAACAAATTGATGCTATCCGACTGGAACAATCATTCCTTATCACTAAATTTAAGACTTGATAAAGCAGAAAATCTGTTTGTATTTTAAGTAAATATTAAATTTTAATATATCCAATTTTATATTATTTTGAAAAGATAAAATATATTCATAGTTAAGCTTATTAATTACATAACATAGATTTTTTAATAAGAATTTCATCTAAAATAACATTAAGTATATTAAAAAATAGTAATATTTTTATGCCAAAAAGGATGTAAATAGCATTAAAATTGTTATTTTTAAAGGTTATTAACTCTAGATTTATTTACATAGAATGAGAATTTCACAAGAAAAATATAATACGATCCACAGTTTATTTATTACGATTAAAAAAAACTAAAATCCATGTATCCTTTTAACGGAAATTCCTTTCTTTACTTATAAATTTAAAATAATTTTTTATTGTTATATTTTTAAATCATTAAGAACGCGTTTAAAATGAAAAAATTTAATGTTTTAAAAATTACTTTTATCATCCTATATAATTACAATGCAAATTTTCCGTTTAATTTTTTAAGTAATTGTTATCAAAATTATCCNTTGCATAAAACAATTATTTAAGTCTACTGCATGAGATAGGAAAAATACGAAAATATTTTTACTTTTATAATATTAATATTTAAATATAAAATAATCTCCTATCATCCATGTATGTTGTAAATACGAAATACAGCATGACACAGCATTACGTAATATCGCAAACTCATTTGTCACGAAATTGCCGTAACGTTTTGACATACTTTTACGGAACTTCTCGAATTTTTTTCTTTTATAACTAAAATATTTTGTATTATATTCAAAAGTAAATATTTTAAATTTCAACATAAAAATTTATTCAGTTTTTTTTCTTTTTTTAAATAGCGAGATTGCATTAAAGGAAAAGGAAATAAAATTCACTAATATATAGAAATTGTTAGTTGTATGGATACTAGAGTCAATAAATAAATAAATAGTTTATAAATTTTCCTAATTTATAATTTTTATATATGTATTATAATTAATTAAGAAAGATTTATTATGCATAAATAAATCGTCTATGGATTTGGATTTTTGGTATGAAGGTAATGTTTTGTATTTTTAAGAAATTTCTTCAAGTGGATCCCAACTAATAATATAATTCAGAACAGGATATGAGTATATTTATATATCTTCATACAATTATATAATTTTCATGTAAAAAATTATTTTACATGAAAACACCGAACATGTATCCGTACATATGTGAAAGTAATCAAATTTATATCATTCTTACAAAAACTTATGAACATTATTTCCTATCCTAGAATTACTTAAAATATTTTTACCAAATTAGTATGTGCCAATATAGATATTATTAAATTCAAGAATATTTTTGATGCAACATTTATATGAAATATCGCAATACAGAGTTCAACGGTTTTTCTTTCATTCGTAGGATTGTGGTCATGGATGGACTTCTATGAAAGGAAGAGTTGCTTTCTGGTTTAAATTATTTCCTAACGGGCAGGGTATGGTATTATTTAAATTATTTGGTCAACAGTGCGAAAGTTGTAAAGGAGACAGATACGAACCCGCAATGTGGTATCCAGAAGAAGTTGTTAAAGTGAGTATTCATGTATATTTAAAAGTCTTTTGTCTTATATACAGGTAGATACTATAAGAATAGAGAGAGAGAGAAAAAATTAATGCTTTCGTAACATTTTCCGGTACAGCACGAGGTCGAAATTAGATGGATACTTTTGAATAACTTGAATACATCATCATTAGTACATAATGTAGAGTGAAATAAATGTAATTGGATGTATATTGCATGAGAGTAATAATTAGTTTATATTCTAATGCTAAATATATTTAATTAGAATTTCCGATTTGTAAATATGAGTACGTAGATGTATGTATACATATTTTTTTTTTTCAAATAAAAACTTTGCAGTTTTTTAATATTTTAAGTTTTGCATTTGAGATGATTGCTTGGAAGTAGAAAAGATTTGATTTCTACTAACGACTTCTCAAGTATATTTTGATTTTTTAAAAACTATTTTTAGAGATTTTAATTTGAAAAACAATACGAAAAGTAATTGAAACTTTAAGTGCATTTTGGAATTTGCAAATAGGTGTGTGGAAAACGGTTATATGGTACTGCATACTAAATAAGTCGCTACCGACTTCCGGCATTTTTAATATTGTTTACAAACATTTAAGTGTTAAAAATTAATCTGTTTTTGCAGGTATTAGTCAACATCTACAATCGAGTAGGACAGGTATTTTATGGATTTCACCAACCGCCGATACACAAGAGCAGACGTCCAGGAAAACCCAGGAATCCACATAATAGCGATTTATGTCAAGCTTGCAAAGACGGTGTTTGTGCAGAGAGGAGGTAACACCATGATCTTTTCTTCTCAAAAATCTGTTTATGTAAAAAAAAAATAATACCCGACAACTCTTTAAAACAAAACGATTTCCTACTTAATTTGGTCCTCCGAAACGTTTTAAAAATAGACTAGTCATTGTTTATTGCATAAAATGCATGGTCACATGCCGCACGTACATAGTCAATACTATAGAAACTGTACAGGTATTATCTCGAGTGTTGTGACACACCTAAGTTATGCAGTATGTCGGGTTATATTCATTAAATAACACCGCATGACGTGTATCTCGAAATATAATCCAAACTCTTTTTAACAATTTATTAGCGAGGACCAATAAAGGTTTTTCTTTCTAATATTTAAAAAAATTGTGGGTTAGTATTATAATTATTATTAGTTTTTATTATCATGTTTATATTATTTAAAGGGCAACTGAGTTATAACTAAGGTTGTGAAACACCCTTTAAACTTTGTAAACAAAAAAATCGTGCCTTTAATTATATATACATACATATATATATATTAAAATTTAAATTGTAATATATCGTTTAGAAAAAAATAAAATATTTTTACAAATTTTGTTGGGGTTCGTTTGAAATCGTTTCTTTTTGTTTTTTGAAAGTATCGTCCTTGGAAGACGGAATCAGACTTAACTTGGCGACACTAATCGTGTTATCTTCTATATGGATAATTGGCTGGACAATACTATTGTCCGACTTACAGAAATTAAATTATACGACAGAAAGATAACAATGGTGAATGTTACATCAACTACATACTTGGCTATTTTTTCCTTTTCTCATCAGAAGTAGTATTTAAGTAAACGGATTTTTCATCTTCTTCCTAGTTGAAAATTACAAAAAATTACTAACTTTGAATGAAAGAAATTTTAAAGAATGTCAATCAATTTTATCGTGAAGGGCATCGCGTGTATTTTAATTTTAAATAGACTGAAATAAATATTTTAAACAATTGCGGAATTTTTCAACTGTTTCCTATTTAAACGGGTGCCATACTCAAAATTAGATAAACATTTTTAAATAAATATATTAAAATTTCTGTAAAATAATGTTAGAAATATTTGATTGTTATTCTTATTTTAAAATTTTTCAGTATTATATTTAATTTGAATGCATCATAAAATTCCACCCTATATCATTTCAAAATATCCTGTTAATAGTGTTTGTTTACAAGTACCACATAACTTTTTACTAAACAAATGAAATAAAATCATTTTTCTGTTTGGACCAATAAATATTATTCTTTAATAAAATGCCAGATATTTTCATTTTTTGAAGTGAATAAATAAAAATGTATAATTAAATTTGTTTAAGGAGTAAGAAAAACAATTTTTCTAAATTCAAGTATTTAAATAATTTTTTATTTAATTGGTCGTTTTATATCTGACAAAAAATAACTTATAAAAAATGGAATGACCGACAATTTTGAAGTATTTACCCGCAAACACAAGGCACGCATTTGGCAAAGTTTATGATCTCTTATCAAGCTCTTGGCTTTGCCGTTGGTGTGACATTTTTAAACTCAAATAGTTTTCTCACAAAGACAACCTGAATGGTTGATGTGATACAAATGACAATGCATTGTGCAAGGGACCAATAAAGAACCCATCTGTTGTTTGCATCTACTAGATACCAATCTCTTGAAACTTGTCTTCGGCTTTGATCTTGATATTTGAGCATTTCACCAACTCTTTCGTCAACAGTCTTCAATGTGCCCTAGTTAAAATAATTAACATTTAAAAAAGATGTAATTCAATATCAATTAAATTACTAAATTTTAAAATATTTTTCATTGGTAACTAATAAGCAAGCTATATTTTAGTGCTCTGGTAATAATGTGTAAGATTTACAAATGATATATCAATCAATTAGCTTTTAAAGGATATAAAGTATAATTTATGAAGACCAAAATAAACAAAGTGAATAACTTACATACAATTTTACTTAATTTTTTTTTACAGAAATGATGTTAAAATCTTAAATTACAGGGTTATATTATGAATATTCTTCAAATGATCAATCACTTTTTTTTTCTTACAGTGTTATACTAACTATATTCAGAAATATATAATCAATATATTGATTTGACAGGTTTACTGTATTCAGATACAAATCATATTTCTTTAATAATTTACTTGTTTATGTAATATTTTTAATATATTTGAAAAAAGTTATTTATTTATTTGTTTGTTTGTTTGTTAAAGATGAAGTATATTTCTAAAATTTCATATGTTATCACTTTGATATAATTGAAAAAAATCTCCAAGATAAAAATAGTCATCAGAATAAACACTATACTTTAACCAAAATTATTGATAGGAAATGTTATAGAAAATATTTTTAAAATAGTTTTGCTTTTAAAACATTCTGAATAATGTTAGAAAAATATGTTCATTATATTATATGCTGTAAAGTGTTATCAAAGTTTAAAAGGAACAAAGATTCACAGAAATTTTATTTTGTCAAGTTATTCTTCTTAGTTTTCGTGACTTCTTGACTTGACTTTCTAATAATTCCTTTATGTACTATTGCATTTTTCATGCTATTTTGATAATATGTCTACTGATCTATTGTTAAATTTCTTTATTATTTCCACTATATATAAGACAAAGCCATTCATTATTAAATTATTAAAGACAGGAAATCGTGCTATAATATAGCAATTTCACTACAAACATGTTAAATAACTGTTAGTTAACATGCTTGATGTTAATTGTTAACAATAATAATCTTTAACTGCAATATATAGCAATATTTATTATTATTCTGAATAAAAATTTTTATTCAGAATATATTTTAATATTAAATTTTTCTGAAATAAAATTTAAATTATAATAATTTTTTACCTCAATTTATAAGTTGCCTAGAAAATATTGCATAATTTATCATGAGCTTACAACCAAATTATCATATTTTAAAAATTAAAGTAATTTAAACTTTAAAGAAATAATTATATTTAGAAAAATATACAAGAATTATCATCAAGTAAGAAGAATATCTTAAGAACAACACTGTTTACAATTTGACTTTTTTGATTTGTTAACTGTTTTAATTTAATCTTGTCATAATTTGTCCTCGAAGTCAGTGTAGATTGAGTTATACTAGAATTAAAGTCAACTGATTTATAATTAAAAAAATACAGTGGGGTATGCTATAACAGATACTTTTTATCTACAAAATCAAAATGTTACAACAAACAAAGCTGCTACAATGAAGGCAAAGAAATACTATTAGCCAACATAGCACATGCATGTGCATGACATATTGAGGTTTTCCCCATTGATTAAAACATTACAAACTATAATAAGACAGTGACTAAAGTTCAAATAGTTGTTTATTGTGTCTTTAGCAATAAAAACATGTTTTTAAAATTGTTCTGCTACATAATTTTAGCCTCAAGCTGACAAAATAAAGTGAGAAAGCTATTTAACTTTATACATTAAGAAAAAAATAATTTCCAAGAGAGAAAATGAAAAAAGTGTAGGCAATATGAATGCTGAATAAGGTATGGTTAAATGATCAGTACAATTTTAAAGAATAAGGAAGAAATAAAAAAATGCACAGATTGCAAAGGAAATCTCTATATTAAGAAGTTAATAATGTAGTGTTGTGGAAAAGATGGAATTTCTTCTATTAGTTTGGATTAATGAAAAACAAATGGCAATTATTATGGAAAATTTTTTCATACTTCTCAGTACAGAAAGATTTTTTGCTTTTCAAATTTACATATATAATGTATAGAAGTTAAATAAATTAATTTTATAATATTTTTACCCTTATATTTTTGATTTTATACTATGTTTTTCCTATTTAAATGGTTATGTTAAAATGTAACTTTGATCTAGTCTTTGGACTTGGAATGGATTACATCTAAACACACATATTTCAATGTATGCTAGAATAAACAGATACCATAACAAATGAGGTCCTAGAATCAATTGTGTTTGTTCTAGCATACCCAACTATATAATAAAAATTATATAATATGCCTGTCTATATTTTCCTGAAAACTATTACATAAGTTTTTCAATGATTATCTTCAAGAATACCTATCTAATCATCAAATTTAATTTATATAAAAAAAACTAAAATTAAAAATTTTATTTCAAGTATCATAAAATCCAGGCAGTATTTATATCATTCAATTTATAAAAGAGAAGATAGGAAAAAGCTGTTTAGGATTTTTTCAAATATACTAAATATTCAATCAATTATAAGAAAAATGAAAAATTTTTCATGTATTAGAGATAATATATGACAATGATTTAATTTTATATTTGTCTGGAATCAAAACAGTTAAAATTCATTTTGGCTAACAATAAAAATAGAAAAATAATTTCTAATGCTACAAGAAAAACCTGTTTCCTTTAAAACATCAAGAAGTGACTATTTTTGATCACATAATTTCAAATTGTGAAAAATTATCAACTGATGTTCATATAACATTTTTGCTATTTACACACACAGTAAAACTTTCATAAACCAGAACTGCATGATACTGAACATTTTTTTCATTTGGCTGGCTTCTGTTTTGAATGGATTTTCTCTTAACATAGAAAATCACTCTCTTCTGAAATATTTTTCCCATTTAGGCAGATTTCTTTTTTATTTAGACAGATTTTACTGTATTGTTTTACTTACTAATAAATAGAATTTACCTTAATGTTACATACACATCTAAAAAACAATTACGAAAACTATAAAAACATAACTAATTGTAATTAAAATCTATGTACCTTGCTATTTAAAAACATTTTTATATTTCAAAGTCTCGTCACCAATTTTATTCTTTTATTTCCAATTATTATTTGTTATCTGGCAAGCATTCATTAATTAATCCTTAAATAATTATTCCAAAAATGCTATAAAAAAATTAAAATAGAAAACTAACTATGAAAACTATTCAATACTTAGTTAATTAACTGAATTTATACAGCCATTTTTGTTATATATTATACTGTAGTTAATTAACCATGATGTAATATATAATAAAAATCACTATACTAATGTTTATATGAAAATGTCAGTAATTGTATTAATTAATTAGTAAATTTTATATTTTGTGCATATGCCCATATGTTATGTTTTAATATTTAAAATTTTAAAAATTTAAAAATAAAAATAATATACTTTTTTTTATAAAAGGTAAATCAGAATGATGATAAACTATATTTTATGCACTTAATTAATGACCATTATAAAAAATAATTTAAATTGTTGTATCGTTACTGCAATGTATTTTTGATTAAAATCAATTTTATTAAAAATATGATAAGATATCAATAAAATAATGTAATTTCTATAAAATATAATCAAATATTCAAAAAACTGATTATGTATTATTCATAAATTCACCTATAAATAGCATGAAAATTTAGTTTCATAATAAAAACGAACAGACCACGCGTTGTTGTGGCTCAAAATGTATCTATTATAAATGTATAATACTTTCCCCGTGAGGGGGAAAATTTTCGAAAAATTTCTTCTTAGTGTACATTCTCTTGACGTACCCTATTAAAACGCAATAAAAAACGCAAAAAACCGCATCTGAAATAGTATAATAGAAGCCAAGTTCTTCAAGGTAAGCCTTAATCCTGTCCTCTCCCCCGCGGGGGGAATATCGAAAAATCCCTTTGTAGTGTATATTCTGTTGACGTACCCTATTAAAACGCAATCAAAAACGCAAAAAACCGCATCTAAAATAGTATAATAGAAGCCAAGTTCTTCACAGTAAGCCTTAATTCTGTCCCTCTCCCCCGCGGAGGAANCAAACTTAGGTCGTCGTACTCGTAGCGCCATCTGTTGGACATAAAAGCCTTAACCTAGATTGTAATTTATATGAATGTTTAACGGAATAATATACAGCCTATGTCCACCTTGAAGTTCCATTCTAAATATTGGTGAAAGAATTTTTGAAATCGGATGAGTAGTTTCGGAGATTACCCGCTACATACAAACTTAATTACAGTACTTCTTACAAACATTACCTCTTTATAATATTAGTATAGATTAAAACTGAATGCTTAAATTCATATGACATAAAGAGAAAGTAAAGTAATTAATTGATTTAAGTTTTGCAGTTTAAAAATATTTTTCAAAATTATCATATTAAATTTAAATTCATAAATTATATAATCTATTATAGATAAACAAGGTTTGCTGATATAATATCTGTACCATAAAAACTATAATTCAAATAAAGCAACTCAATGAAAATTTGTATGTATATGCATTTCAAAATAATAATATAGGTATAGATTTTATTTGAAACAATTAAAACAAAAAAATAATTAACAAGAAAAGTAAAAAATAATAAAATACGCTTATATGTAATGTAAGTGGTTACAAGAAGTCATATGTCAGAGGAATAAATACAAATAACTGCAAACTATTAAAATATTTTAAAAAAATACTATAGGCTATTTTTTAATTTGACTATTACATTCTTTGATAACTCTTTCTATTTTTTTTTAGAACTTACTTTCTTATGATTTCAATATAAATCTAAATAATTAAGATCTTGATGATTATAAATTTGATTCATAGCTGATGAAAGCTAGGATTGCTGCATTTTATACAAAAGAACTGAACAACACATCTGCATTACTATTCGAATTATGGAACATTGTCTTGTGATTGTGTATCATCACTATAAATTAAAATGCAATAGTAAAATTTTAATTATTGTACATTATAATAGATTAAACTGTAAATGAAGTTTGAATTGTCTTAGTTTTATAAAAAATATGTCAATAAAAAGTCCTTTTTACCATTTACCATAGCAGTCCCCAATAGGATCAGTACGGTATTTTGGAGGATTGAAATTAGTCAGAAGTCAATTTAGAACAGCTCATTAAAAATTATTAGTCTAATGGATTATGTATATGACAGTTCAGGATAATGTAAATTTGCACACTATAAGTAGATCTTTTGTACGAAAAGTGTGTGGATTAATACTCACTCACCACATTTATTAATTATTATTATTTTTTTTTATCATCATTATTAGCAAAAAAACATGAGGAGTCAATTAAAGGTTGAGTAATCTTTGAAGGAGTCAACAGTCAAAAATGTTTGTGGACCTGATCTACTATGGATAGTTGAGAACAATTGAATAGTCTTTAGAGTAAGAAAAATAAAAATAGCAGATCTAGACGAGACTAAGTTACTTAGAAAGTGTTGTTCTGATACATCAAGGCATAGGCTTATGTAATAGAAGATATAGATTTTAATATTATATGGAATGAAAGTCTCTCTATTATAAAAAAATGCTAAAAATGCATAAAATTTTACTCTCATTAAGAATTAATTGAGTACTAAGGCATATTATAGTACTTAAGAATGTTAGAATGTTAGTAAGTTTAGAATGTTAGAAGAGAGTTTTAAAAGAATACAGATAAGATATAAAATGGAAGGAATCACTACAGTGCTTGTAGAAAATACTTTGGATAAAGAATGACATATCCAATAAAAGGATGCCTTATTTATTTTGCTATTTATGTCTAGCTCTTTCCCTCAGACAGCAAAAGAGCTTTAACAAACAGCTGCTTAACAAAATATCAGAAAATACAATATTAGATATTTCAATACGAACACAGTTGAATGAGTATGTTGTATTCTGTTTTCACCGAATTATTTGTTTTTTTTAAATTAAATATATACTGTTTAAAAAAACAAAAGTCACTAAAATGTGGAAGTGCTGATCAAATTTGAATAGACTAAAACAGTTTGTTTTACTGACAGCTTTACTGTTTGCTTTACAAAATCATTATTAAGATCTGAGAATGAGAGTCAGTTTCAAAATTACTAATCAAAGTTGTTAAAACTGACTTATAAAAGTAAGTGGTTTATTTTACTATCATAACTTTGAATAAAGGCATTGGAGATGTTGAGCAGTTGTAAATCTTAATTCTGATCATTTTTACTATTTCATTTTCTTAATGATTATATTGATCATTGACCATTTTTCTCAATCTAAGACAGAAAATTGGTTTTCCATAATAACATGTATTATAAGTAACAGAATGCAACTGAAAAAAAGCTAAATGAATTCTATATGTGAGTTATCTTAAAAAAAATTCATATCAAGCAATACAATTGTTAATAATTTAAACAAATACATTTTATGGAGTTTTCTAAGATCCATTGAGATTTATTTTTATGAATAATTAATCAATTAAATATCAAAATAAATATAATATTCAATGAAGCAATCATTTTAATTTATCAAATTTGATAAAAATAAAATGGAACTAAACTGAATCAAAACAAATAAAATCCATAACGAATACTCCAAAAATGTTGTTAGTTTAAAATTAATCAGATTAATTTTTAAACTAAAACAGTTTTGGATTGTTCTTGATTTGTTTTTTATTATTCCAGAATTATTTACTTATTATTTATTCATTCAAAAATATTGTCTTCCTGATTAATACTATAAAACCTAAATATATTTATTAAAGTTATTTTTGGTGTTAATTCCATTTGATATTTTACAAGATAGTAAATTACCGTAAAGTTGGCCACAGTGACATCCATTTCTTCTAATTCTTTGATGTAACTCTCCCATTCATCACGCTTGAAGGAATTAACATATAAACTTACAAGTTTAGATGCAAATCGAGATAGAGAATTATCTATACAAAGTTGATAATAACCTGTAAAAAATTATGCTTTAATAAAAAAATAATATTGTATGCTATTTAAATTTAAATATCTAGCAAATTTATTCAAAAATCTGAAAACAGGATTACAAAGATATTTTGCTTTAAAATAATTTTAATACATCATACTATTTTAAAACTTAAAAATAATTAAAAATTTATTAAGCAATGTCTAGTATACAGTATTATAAATTACTATAATTCTCTACTATAAGAAAATACTATTTGTAAAGCTTTAATAATAATTAATAATATGTATTAATAACTGTAATTATTAAACTCTCTACCTAGAATTATTATAGTTTGTTAAATAAAATATAAAATAATAAAAGTGTTTTCAGATTTTCAACAATTTATCTTTATTTTAGTAAAAATACTAAATCATAATAAAATTTTTTGCAGTTTTAAACATTAAGATTTTAAATCCATCAAAAGAAACATTTTAATTGAATATTTCAGACCATAAGCATAGTAAATTCATAGTAAACAAGTAAATTCAGATAAGAAAATATTTTCTAACTCCTATTATTATTATTATTATTATTAAAAACAGTATAATGCAAATAAACATTAAAATTATAGTATGATTATTACATAAAGATTATAAATAATTTTAATCTATCTAACATTAACAGAAACAAAATTCTGAAATGCTCAAAAACTTTTCTCACTCTTCTATTTATTTTAAATTTCAATTTCTAATTTAAACTTTCATAATTGAAGCAAACATGATTCTGTTTGCATGGAAACACTTTTCTTTTAAGCAAGTTATCTTCTACATATTTCTAGAAATCTTTACTAAATAATGTAAAAAACTTTTTATATTTTATTCTTTCTTACTATAATATATACTTTAATAGCAATTTAAGTATCTTCACTTTCTCATACATTTAAATAATGGCTATTATCTAGCATTTCCAGTAAACCTTGTTAAATTTAGCAATTAAGAAAAATAATTTTTAAGTGATTATCTTATCATTAAAAAGTGTTGAAGATAATAACACTTTTAAAGTTCTAGAAAAAAACTATAATTTAGAAATAAAAGAAAACATTTCAAATAAGAGTATTGAAATTGAATGCTTGTGATTTCAGTAAATAATTAGGATATCTTAATATTGTAATCATCATCATCATCTAATAACAGAGTTATCAGTTCAGTGAGATACATTAAATAGACTGTTCACATAAAAATATTTTCTCAAGTCACCACTGATCACAACTATTTAATTTGTTTATATTACATCACATAATTCATGATAAAAGAAAAACAGTATCTTTGAACATTCTGTCATTAAGAAACTTTCATTTTATCATCATTCTATCAAAGCAAGATTAATGAAATTTCTTTATATCAACTACTTTAAAACAACATGCCAGATATTTAAAAAAGTAATTGCAATAGAATAGAATAGTGGCTAAGAACATTTTTATAAATGATAAAAACTGTAGAGAGATATTATCTAAAATTAATTAAAACTGGATAATTCATTAGGTATTTATGAATATGATGCATGTATTAAAGATTTTTAGATTATGTTCTGTGTGTTTTTATAAATAAGGAATAAAGCAGTAGGTTTTGTTCTAGATTTTATAAATCTACAAAATCATTATTAAACTTCTGTTAAAAGAAATGATTTAATACAAGATGAAACAAGACAAATTACAAAATCCTTGTGGAATATATAAATTAACATATGAATGACATTAAATTTAAATACTAATCTTAAATTTTATTTCAATCAATAACTAGATCATCACATACCAATTAAATACTGTATATAAAATCATAAATTTTCAATTTATAAAAACAAGTAACTGTGAAGTAAAAATTAAAAATAATAATAATAATAATAATAATAGACAGCCAAGCTTTTTTGTTATAATTTACTGTAATTAATCAACTAGCTAATTCAACTAGTTAATGTGAGGATAGAAAGATTTGCAATCTTGTGGAAACTTTAACAAGTAGAATTTTTTAAATTAATAAATTACAAATAATTAGAGAAAAAATCAACTTAAAATGTTCTTTGAATCTGCAACTCCTGCACATTTAAGAGTTTAAATAATAAAAATTGACAATGAAAATCAATATATTGGAGATGTGTATTCAAATCTCACTTCTAGCTGACCTTTTTCTAGATTAGAGGTGAACAACCTGCAGTCTGCATTAATATTTTGTGCAGCCAGTTTTGCACAAAATATATCAATTTCCCAACTTTAGGATGTATGCAACAAAAATTCTATTGTTATTTTCTACAACTTAGTAAAAAGTAAAACAAGAAATTGGCTAACAGACACATCAAAACTAATTTAAAACTAGTAGTGACTAAAACTAAACCAAATATTTTGAATATATTATGTTCACATCAATGACAGAAGTCAAATTAAGTATACATATGTTAATTTATAATCATATATGAATAACTAACTGATTTACCAGCATTTTTTTTCTTTTTTTAATGTATGATCTGAGTCAGTTCGAAAGTTTAAATGTGGCTCTTACATAGAAAAAGGTTGCCCATACCTGTTCTATTGATAAGACACTATATTTCTAAACTAGTAAGTAAAAATTCTAATTATTAAAACTTCTCAAGATAGTCATGACACCTCTTGATTCTATGTTAAGTTAGTTTATTAATTAATTAAATTATTAAACTGAATTATTATATTATAATTAATCAAAAACAGCCAAAGAAAACAAGTATTAATTTTTAATTATCTGTTAGGTAAAATAAAATAAATTGCTTTTATACAGTAAACTAAACCAGAAACTATAAAATTAATTAAATAACAATACTAGATTCATTGGGTCATAACAGATATTTAAATATACAAAGTAATTTAGACTAAAATAGACTAAGAAGTTGCCATCTTGTATTAAATTTATTAATTAGAAAATAAATTAAATAATTTAGAATATTCTAAAAGAAAATCTCAATCTCAAGAAAGATAAATCATACATCAAAATTCAAATTATTAAAGTTGATAAAAGATAGCTACTTTAGTCCAAATTACTTTATTTCTATATATTTAAATGGCCTAGTTATGGCCCAAAGAATTGATTAAAAAAGACAACTTTATCTAAGGTCAGAAAAGATAAAAAATAAAAAGTGTGTTTAAGAAATTAAAACTATTTCAGAGAATATCTTAAACATTTTTGTACAGATTCTTATCTTTAAGGATCAGATTTGTATACATGTGCATATTCTTTTCCTTAAATCTGTGATATTGAAACTTCAATACAAACACAATTTGAGTCCAAGTAGATAAAATTAAAATTGTCCAATAATAAATATTGATTTTTAAGTATCAATAATATCTGCAATAATAAATAGTAAAAATCAGAAATGCATATGAAATATGTATTTATGATTTTTACTTTTTTGCATTTTTTTAACATTTTCAGGACAAAATAACTGCTTTATAATCTTTACAGCTTGTTTATATGATGGCAAGTACTAATGTTCCAACTGAAGTCCATTTCTGGCAGTGAATCTTTTTTTGCACATTTATAGTTTATATGAGAAATACCACTTCACTATGCTATTATAGATGAGTGTACAATGTCAATGTTTTAAATTTGAATCATCCATCTCACATTCTTTTAAAGTCCCCCAAATAAACATGGCATTACCATGGCAGGCAATCTCTCATTTTTCAAATTCTCAAAATCCTTTGAATTAATTATATTAAAATGTTATATTTATTAATTTACTTAAACAGTTTCTTGGTATTCAACATCAAACATGTTATACAACAAAATAAACATTGTTTTTTGACATTAACAAAAATTAAAAATTAACAAACTTCAACAATTTTCACAAACACTTTCCACAGCTAATTCACATCTGTCATCTTTAGGTGAAAATTCATAATTAAACAGAATTGCATATTTGGATCAGAACATATTTGAAATTTCAGGACAAATTTATAATTTAAAATACACAATGATGTTATACTAAGATTTCATTTAAAAAAATAAAAATGCATACATAGCAAAAGAAACAAATTAAATTAACTCAAAAAAATTTCACCTTCCATACGCTTTCTAGCAGTAAATGTTTAATAAACAGCTTAATTAATAAGTTTAAATAAACTCCTGAATACCCAAGAATAATTATTAATTTAATAATGTTAAATTTAAATCTTTCAAAAAATATTGTTCACTTATGGGAGGTAATTTCAAACATCTCAAAGTAGTCAAACTTCTGATTATGGAGTGTGCACAGAAAAGATTCATTATATCAACTTTAGTTCAATCAATAATATGGATAAAACAGCAAAATCTAATGTTGCATTGCTAAGAAAGTATGTACAGGAGTTTGGATCCTACATATTTAAAGCAGATTAATAAATTATTTATTGTAAGGTATGCCACAAATTGTTTATGCTAAAATACAATATCAAGTGTTGAAATATTCTTAAAGCATCAAAATGAGCCAAAACAGCAAGTAATCACAGATAAGTTGCTATTTGTACTGAAACTAACTTTAGTAGAACCAATAATATCAATTGGACCAAAACATTAAACACTAAATCTATAATTAGTTAATAACTTAATAAGAGTTTACTCATTTGTCATTGTTTCTACAGGGCTTAAACAAAAATATATGACTAGACCAGCGATGTAACTATTAACTATATAAGATGGAGAAACTATGTTAAAGTCCAAAATTAAAACAAATTGATAACTTCTAATAAAATGAGCACCATACACACTTTTCCAGCAAAAGGAATCAGAACAAACATTTTCGGTTTATTTTATAAACCTGCTTCAAGTTTCAAACTATAAAATTTGAAGCAGGTTCATAAAAAAATCGAAAATGTTTGTTCAGCAAACTCCTTTTGCTGGAAAAGTGTGTATGGTGTTCATTTTATTACAAGAAACCAGGTTAACCCAGTCATCCTCAAACATCTTGTAAACAGTTACAATTTCATGATGAACTCAGGATATTTTTCTTCTAATTTTCAATTAGAAATTCAGACTATGTACAAAAAATTATTTAATTTTTGAGTCTATCAATTAATCCTTTTTTCACACACCATAGAAGTAGCCTTTACATTGGTTTGAAGAAATCACTTCATAAAAACGAATAACAATAGGTAAAATTTGTAGATGGTATAAAACTTGGCAGTTGGTGAGAAGATTTACTAAATTTTTAATGTTAAGGCGTCAGATACCTAAAATGAAAGGCTGACGTCTGATCGTTTTTAATTGTAAATTTTTACCTATTGTTATACGTTTTTTATGAAGTGATTTCTTCAAACCGATGTAAAAGGCTACTTCTGTGGTGTGTGAAAAAGGATGAATTGATAGACTCAAAAATTAAATAATTTTTTGTACATAGTCTGAATCTCTAATTAATAATTAGAAGNAATGATTTCTCCATTAATAGGTACATTTAAAAATAAATTTAATATTTATTAATTAGACAGTATAGAAAGTTATAAAATTTTATTGAACATGCAATTTTATTCATAATTGATTTGATTGCACACCTACATGAAACATTATTCTAATACCTTGTCTTGTGATGTCATAATTTTCAAATCCCTTGTGAAATGTATTGTCAAACACACTTATCCCCTCCCGTCTAAAAAGTGTGATGTAATAGAAGTTAGTTAAACATATGCATTTCAATTTACAAAGTTTAGTAAATATTACTGGCCCTTTTAACATTCTTAATGCATATTTCAGGCATTTTAACATGCATTTATCTGCATTTTCATAGGAATATGCATGTGCTTATATTGCAATTTTAAATGCATATAAATCCTTGTATTTCAAAATAATTCAAAATTATTATTGTTATAAATAGATATTAACAAGAATTATAATGAAAAAATATATGATTATACAATATCTGTATCAAAATTTTATTTTTTCAGTTATCTCACCAGATATTTCAACTTTCTGTTCTTCATATTCAGCATTAGGCTTCCATTGGTAAGGAAATACATGTAATCCATTTGGATTACGAATTGCAAATCCAGCCATCCCATCTCCTCCTCGCATTACCTAAAATTTAAACAATTAATCTTTGATTAACATGAAACAAATAAATAGGCTATACAGATTTCTATAAATTGAAAATCATTTCTATTAAAAATTAAATTATTTTTAATGTAATTAGTTGAATTTTTGAAATGTTTTCATTTTTTTAAAAGATAATAATAAATGGTCCATTTCAAAATAAATTTAGTTTAAAAATCAATATAACAGAAATAAAATAAAATTATCTGAGTACAGTGGAACCTCGGTGTACAGTGTATATGACCTTAATCTGTTCTTAATGTTTGGACTTATACCGAATAGGATGTATATCAAACCAACCTTTCCCATAAGAAGTAATGTAAAAATGATTAATCTGTTCTCATGAAAAAAAATGGCTGGCTTTAAACACCTCGCTTTCCTGGCTAGTTCCTGCTTGATTTTTCGTGAGATCAGCGTGTATCTTTTTAGCTTTCTTGCAAATAATTGCTTCCGATACGATGTCGCCAGCACACTGTTTTTCAGTTATCCAAAGCAAAAGCAATTTCTCAACATAATCTAATGTCTTCGATCTCTGTTTAGAAATTGATTTAACCCCTTTCGCAACGTTAGCAGATTTAATAATGTCTTTATTTCTCGCAATTGTCCATATCGTCGTTCTTGAAATACGGTAGGCAACAGTTAAAATCTCAAACACGCATGCCACCTTCATATTCCTCAACAATCTCTTTTTTCAGTTCCATTCTGATTCTAGTCATTTTTGTTAGTTTTCTGTTGCTTTTCACTTCCTTTTTGCAATTCATGATTAATAAAAATAATAAAATTTTACTTACAAATTAAAATCAGAAGAAATTTAACAAAGTTAGAAACTGTGGCATCGCGAACGTCTAGTCTAGTCTAGTACACTGATGGTGTTACTTGTTCATAGATAGCACGTATAATTGAATTAAGTCGTATACCAAGCAAAATTTGTTTCGTCCAAACAGGACGTATTCCGAATTCGACATATTCTAAAGCAGACATATACCGAGGTACCACTGTATTTAAATCATGCAATAAAAATAAACAACTCATAAGAGTCTTGAAAAAAGTAAGATTTTAATTTCAACTTCAGTTTTATATAAATATATATTATACAGTACAGTACTATATATATAATGTATATATATTGTAATAATTGTATAATATACATATATTACATTGTATTACAGTATTCAGTTCTTTTAGAAAAACAAATAACTGAAGCTGAAATTAAATCTCATATGATTTTACACACAATATTTTTTATCATGAAAATCACAGTAGTGTTAAATCAAAGAATTAAGAACAAATTGCACATCGAAAATCATGCAATTTAAACAATGAGCAAAATTTTTTAGTATAATAATGGTAACTTTTCTCTATAGAAATCATTTACTTAAAACAATCTTATTCTAACTGCAAGAACAGAATTCAACTTTTGCATTTAATTGTCTAGTGTCTTGATGTCTTTTAACATACCAAAAGACTTTGATACCACTACAAAAAATAATGCACTATTCCTATCATTCAATAATTTTATTCCTTAAATTCACAGAAGGAATTTAAATAATCTGTGGCTGTCAATAAAACAAGAGAGAAAAAGAAATGCAAATATATGAAAGAATATATAGTTGCACTTTTGATTTCTTCTCTCTCTCTTTTTTGTATATAGTTGAAACCAATCAGTAGTATTTAAACCAAATATATAATATGTTGTTGAGATGATTTCAATCAATCTACCAATCTGCAATATATATAATCAAAGTTAATATTCATACTAGTCTAATGTCTTTTTACTATTGAAAAAAGAACACAGTGTAATCATGAAATAATAAAATCATTAAAACTGAGCTGATATAACTAAACTGAGTAAATATAAACATATTATACATTGCTAGATGTAATTATATCTATTGAAAAAAAATCTTTTATGCAATCTTTTACTTTTCTCTATTACTTGAAAAATTATTAAATTTCTGAAGTAATAGAGAAAACATTGTTTGAATAGATAAAAACTTTCCAATTTATATACACGAAATATATATAAATTAAATTGGCATCAATTTGAAAATTTTAATCAAAATTAATAGGGGAACTTAATTTATTTAAATATATAAAAACTATTAATAGAGAAATAAATTGAGGAATAAATTTAGATATAAAATTAAAACAGATATGATCAGTAATAAATTATTATTCTATATTTTTGCAGCAGCAGCTGTTTTTAAAAATATATATGTAACTTTAATATTACTCTTCTAAAATAAATTATGTAATCTTAAAATTTTATATTTCTATTAATTATTTAAGAAAATAGTGTTTTCTATATACATTACTTATAATTAACCTTCTATCTCCAATCATCCAATTTGTGACATAGACTGCAATCATAGTGACGGAGACCCTCCTTAATTTAAGTTGTACAAAGTATTATAATGCATTTGAATCTAAAATCAAATGATATGAGCCTTTATTAATTTTTATAAAAGTTAGTATTCTTTTTCACATTTTTCATGCATGGAAGTTGCATGATCTGGGCAGTAAGTTTTCTTGCAATTTGAACATCAATTATTAAATAGTGGTGTTTGTCACAAAATAGCACAAGACAAAATGATCAGATTGTTGGACCTTCAAAGAAATTAAAAAATCAGTTCCAAGTGCTGATACATTAAAAAATAAAATAAACAAATATCAGTTAAAAACTGTTACTTATACTATAACTGAGACCCATATGATGATAAAATTCTCTGTATTGCAAAAACTGTCATACATAATTGCACTTTGTCATCCAAATATCTCTCACTGAGACGCAAACAAAAAAGCATCATAAGATTACAAATCACGCAAGTAAAGGTAGGATTAAGAACCATGTCTTCCATGTCTTCAGTTGTCGAAAGCTTGCAAACATTAACAGGCAGGAATAACTGTCTTGTTATCATTACTATGAGCAAATACACCTACAACTGCCATAAATGATCGGGCTATATTTTGGATATATGATTATAGATTGGAAATGAATTTGGCACTAGAGTAAGGCATTAGGTGCCATCTCTTATTAAAATTAATAATTATAATATTTTAATTAATTTCTAATCTATAATCATATATCCAAAATATAGCCCGATAATTTATGGCAGTTGTAGGTGTATTTGCTTAAGATATCGGGTTTTCATTTGACATATATACTTATATACTATGAGCAACTCTTCAAATTCCATTAAGCACAATAAAACCTTCATGTTATAATAAGAACTAATGATAGTAAACCTTTTAATTAACTACATGTAATAAAGTTGCTATCAACAAAAAAAAACTTGATATCAAATTAAAAAGAACAACATACTCATAGGAAAATAAACTATATAGGCTATTCTTTCATGCTTTCATTTGTAGTTATGCTAATAATTACATAGATGATAATTATTTCTTCTAGCTGCTTCAACCATTCTAGCATCTCATGAAAAAGGTCTTAAAACAAGAAATATTCCTTGTTTTCAAGACCATGTTAGCCTCAAGTTTTGGTCAACATACGACAAAGTTGCATAGGAAAATGGACAAATATCATTCCTTGGTTTCTTTTATATTTACAGAATAGTCTAAAAGACATAAATTTTGTGTTGTTTGTTAATAATGGAATTTGGGATCCCTTTGGTGATAAGGGAAACGATAACTCAGACAAAAGAGGCATGTGCCTGAAGTTCCCAATGGACAGGCACCTCTGCAAAGATGCGTGAAAACTTTGATGAAAATTTTTTGAGATATATATACTATATCAATTTCAAAATTAATCTTACCTATAAACACTTCAATCAAAAGCCTTAAATTGTTTTCCAGTAAGATTTTTATTTGAAAAAAGGTTTTTGACTAATGTTTTCAATCTGCAATTGGAGATCTTCAGGTCTATAATGTTAGTTGAAAATCTTTTTTCAAATTAAAACCTTACTGGAATACAATTTAAAGCTTTTGATTGAAGTATTTATTATATCATTCCAGTCTAGTGGTGATTTAAATCTTTCCTATATTTCATACTGACAATTATTTCTTTCTGCCAGATCCTTAATACTGTATATGTAAACAAACCAAAATTAATCAAAGAATTAAAAAATAGTAATTATAAATTATGTAGCTACATTTAATGTCAAAGTAAAACAGGTAAAACATTTAAAAATGAAATTAAACAAGTGTTATGTTATGTGATAAATTAAAGTAATATGACAAAATTAGGCTAAATATGACATATTTATTAAAACATTTATAATATATATGCATTCTATTAATAACAGATGTGAAATAAAGTATAATTGTCCTTTCATGAATATCTGTTTGATTAAATATTTTTAAGTACAGTAAACTCCCGATTATCCGGGCTAATAATGGGGAGAAGTGGCACGGATAATCCAAATTATAATTATTTATTTTAAAAAAATATTATGTATAATATGTATTATACATATGTACATTTAATGAAATCTTAAATTGTGATACATATTATAACATGCAACTAAACGAAACTTTGTATAAATGTACTCACTATCGTTTTCTCCTCCAAAAAGAAACATCCGGTGCGGAAAAAGCAGCCTAACTAAAACCAGTCCAGTTGACTTCAGATACCACCACTACCAGCTTCAAACATCTAAATACGAACACGTGCATACTTATAGGATGCGTAAACATGAAAGTGAGCAACTATTTAAAAAATACATACACATATAATCATTTTTTTTTAAATTAAATTCATGCACGGATAATCGGGAGTTTACTGTATCTTTTGTAGTATTAGAAATATTAAATAAAATAAATCAGTTTATATGTGGATTCTATTAGGTTGTTCGTAAAGTAATTCCTTTTTTTTTACCACTAGACAGATTAGTCATATTTTTCTCATCATTTTCATTCTAAACCGTATTATTATTATATGTTTTGACAGCTAGCATTTTAAGGCTTATTTGTAAAAAATTTTGTTTGATTCTGTGCAATTGTTTATTTTTTGTGTTCCATCAAATATGGAAGATCGAAAGCATCATTTTCGGCATATTTTGCTTTTTTATTACCAAAAAATCAAAATGCTGTTCAAGCAAGAAAAAAAATTGTGGTACATGTATGGAGATGATGTGTTGAGAGAAAAATAGTGCCAAAACTGGTTTACAAAATTTCGTTCTGGCAATTTCAATATTGAAGGTGCACCACGTTCTGGATGGCCAGTTGAAGCCAATGAAAACAAAATAAAGACACTGATTGAAGCAAACTGCCGAATAACAACAAGTGAAATCACTAAGAGATTAAATTTGTCAAATGGAACTGTTTATGATTACTTGAAACAAATTGGTTTCGTTTCAAAGCTTGATGTATGGGTTCCACATGTTCTTAAAGAGAAGAGAAGTGCTCCCTTTGGTGAGATTTTAAGAAAATTTTTTTGGAGCTTTTGCCAGAGAATTTAACAATTGATTCAAAAGTGTACTGCCATCGAGTAAACAAATTGAGTAATATCATCAAACAGAAAGGCAGCCAGAACTGATCAACAAAACAGGTGTAGTGTTTTACCATGATAATGTCAAATTTCACACAAGTTTGGTAACTTGTCAGAAACTGTTATAACTTAGATGGGACATGCTATCACACCAATCATATTCCCCAGATCCAGTACAGATTATTACTTGTTCCTGTCCATACAAATTTTTTTTAACTGTAAGACATTTACTTGAAATGACAATGTCAAAAATCACTTGAATCAGTTTTTTGTAAGCAACAATCAAAACTATTATGAATGTGAAATCATGCTACTACCAGAATCGATGACAACAGGTATTTGACCAAAAAGGTTAATATATAATTCAATAAAATATTTATTTATTATAAAAATATTGTGTTTTTTCCACGGAAAAAAAAACAAAATTACTTTCTGAACAACCCAATAGAACAAAACACAAAGCCTAAACTGATTTATAGTTTGTAATGTAATTCTTTTTTATTTTACACATTCTGGTCATAGTATACAATACTTCTTATCAGCCAGATGGTTGATATAGTTAAGGTGTCAGTTTTACCTCTCTGGAGATCTGGGATCAAATCTGAACAAGCAACACCAGAAATTTTTCAAGGAGTGTGTAACCTGGAAACTTTTCTCACATAGCCACGATTGCAACAAGTACAATCTTGTGGGAGTGCTGATTTGATGTTAAGTCATAGTTTGAAGCTACTGCATAATATATGATATTCTTTTACAACATGTACCCACTCCCATTATGTAAAGAGTAGAAGGATATTACAAAAGAGCAGGGTAATATCCTGACAGTCACTCTGAACAATGAGATAGATGACTATTTTGTAGAAAACAAAAATAGTAAAACAAAATTAATCTGTCATGAATGTGGTAAAAATGACTGCAAGAAACCTAATCATATAATCACTAAATGTGCCATGTGTGAAGGAGAACAACAGAAGGTGAGCTATTTTTAATTATGTATATTATTTATAACCACATCTTTGTTTAGTAAAAAGTTCTAAGATTAATTCCCTCTTTTATTTTATTCATATTTTAAAAATAATTTTAGTATTGGAAGATAAGAATTATTACATCATATATGCAATAATATTGGATATATGATGTAATAGGGCATCCTCTTATAACTAAAAGGTATGCCCACTAAAGGGTTAAGGTATAAAACAGGGTTTTTCAACAAGGTCAATGAAAGTTTGAGGTCAATATAACTTTGCGAATATAAAAAATTTATTTAAAAATTTTTTAAATTTTGTACATTTTTGCTCTTAAATAAATGTTAGATGTTTTTAAAAATTACATAAGAAGCTATAGCATATATATTTATATATAATATAGTATAATTAATATTGAAGGGAGTTGATGGAAAAAATTTTTTCTTAAAAGGGAAAAAGGTTGGGAATCCCTGGTATAAAACAAGCTTCCATGTATTTTAAAATGATACCATATAAACCTTTCATAATTTTCATCCCAAAATGGATGAAAATTATGGCTGTAATTGATTGATTTGATATACTGTAATGCAGTGTTTTTCAACCTGTGGGTCGCGGCCCCAGGAGGGTCGTGCAGCCTTACATGGGAGGTCACGGGTAGAAGAAAAAGAGAAGTGTTTGTAGGTCCTACACTACATTAAAAAAACTACAATTTCAGCAAGAATTATGGCCCACCCCAGAAAATGATAGCAGAAAAAGTGTTGAGCTAATTTGCAAAAAGAAATAAAAAGTAGAAAAGTAGAAGCTGAAATTTCAGATCCTAAAAAAAAAAAAAAAAAAGGTGAACAGTTCCCTGTCCCTAATGCTATAATTAAAGGAAGTTTCATACTTTATGTGTGTTAAATTATTGTCGATTCTTCTGAAATTTTCATTTTAAACAACAATAATTTGTCTCAACAGAAAGAAAATTAAATACATAGTTTTTAAAATCACTGATATGGTTTTAATATGGCCCTAGGGGGGTTGCCAGAATTTTTTAACTTGTAAAGGAGTTGCGTATTCAAGAAGGTTGAAAAACACTGCTGTAATGGATGGCTGTCCATTTTATCCAAGTGTTCAGTTATCAGAATTAGCATTAGTCCACATTATCTCTCATAATTTGTGTTCTATAGTATATACTGTATTTTAACAAAATACAATGCCTTTCAGGGTGTCCACAAAATAAGTATATAACTTCAATATTCTATTAAAAGAAATACACTTACAAAAAATAATTATTTTGATTATCAAAAGATCCATCAAATGTTATAAAGTGTTATATGGCCTTATAAAGTTTTTTAACTCACAATGAAGATGGTGCTGTGTCTTGTAGAAGGAAAAACATTGTTGAAAGTGAAAAGAAACAAAAAATGACTATGCTACAAGAAAAAGCAGCATATGTTTTTTCTTTGCAGAATCGAAATCATTAAGAACAGTTCAACGTAAGTTCAAAACAGAATACAAGATATTGTGCATAAGAACAAGGTAACATCACTTAAACTCAGAAAACATATTAATGAAGTATTTCTCTTGATTACACCAAACATTTTTTGACGTAATTGGATTGAATTGGACTATTCGTCTTGATATCCTGTGATCAACCAAGGGAGCACATTTAGAGATTTATTCATGTTTATTAAAAACCTTTCACTTGTATTATAAACTTTAACATTATAAGTGAGTTGTTATTTCATGTTTTATTTTTGTAATAAAATATAAAAGTTATATACTTATTTTGTGGACACTCTGTATTATACAACTTAAAATTATTTAATAACTCTAGTGATTCACAATGTCTTGTCCTTCAGAGAAAATTATAACTCAAAACAGAAAAAAAGGAATATTTTATGTTTCTTGATATTTATTACTGTTCTGAAATTTATATTATCAAAATTACCAATATGATCTAAATTTTGAAGTCAAATGATTACATATTCAATAATAAATTTATTTATTTATAGTAAAATTTTTTCAAAACATACTGAAATTAGTTTCTATATTTCTTACAAAACTGTTACAAAGTTTATTCACATATTGTTAATGTTTTGTCAAAAGACAAATTCAAACATTTCTTCAAATAGGCATTTGAATATGTTATAAAGCATTTGTCTTTGACAATTCTGAATGATTATTATTGTTTGAATGAAGAAGGTTAACAATAATAACATTTGACGTTCCTTTTACATAACTGAAATTAAACAAATAAATATTTTTTTCTTAAAAACAAAAGTTTCTAATTTTGCTTTACCTTAGGTAATAATTGTAATTTAAATATCTTAGTCATCTTTCCATAAAATCTATTAAAATAATGGTAATTATATTTAAGCGATACCCCAACTCTAAAATAATTAAGGTGAACTATTAGTATGTTCATATATCATTAACTCTATACTGCAAGTCACTGATTGTAACTTCTTGCTGTGAATCATAGTGAGATTTTCAAATTGCTAATCGACATTAATTATATATTGATTCTTTAAAATATTTTATATTATCAAAATGTTTTAAAGACTCTGTAGTTATCATTTTAAACAATTTTATAAGCTTTTCTTCAAAAGCATACAGCATGTTGGAAAAAGTGTTTATTTTTATATTTACAATATAAAAATAAATAGATTTGCATTCTTAAAGACAAACAATGACAAAATTTTGAATTAATAGAAACGCGGCAATTCAAATTAATCAATTACAGGAATTGATTTTATTCTGTTTCTAAGATTTTCGCAAATACACGAACCAGTTGTAAAACAGAACACACAATTATTTATTCTGTATTGTATTGTCTATTTAAACTGAAACGAAAGCAAACAGTGGAACATATGTTCTCACCTGGAAAGCAACAAATAGCGTCGATCCAGCGTGAATAAATTGATAGAAACATTCTTCTCTTCCCGCATCCACGTGAACTTTAAATTCAAATGCAATTCCTAAATCTTTATCAAATGTGTAAGTATCGCCATCACATACAGAAAATACGAAAAGCAATAGTAACACGACCGACGTGACAGACGACGTGGCAGTCGCCATTTGGCAAATGTTAACTCGGCACTTCCCCAAAATCAAATGATGCCAACTCTGATCTAGATGATGACGTTTCTCTCGCTTCGCTTAATACAGTTCATTCACGTGTTTTAACCATAACCCACGTGCTAAACAGTTAATCTACAGATTATCCATTAGACTGTAGTTTATAAATTGTAAATTACGGTAGTTTATAAATGTATTACGGTAGTTATTCGAATAGTAGATAAGAAAATAGTAATAAATAAGCAAAATTATTCATAATTTATTATTGTATATACTGTACCAGGTGACCGTAATTATTATTATTTTTTTCATTTTTACCCTTTCCGTCCTATGGATATTAAGAAGACCTCATTCCATGCCCTTGGGCCAGGCCCGAAATGAGGTGGTCTGGTGGTGAGGGACGGACGAGCGACCTATAAAAATTTCTGGGGTGCTTGCCCGGATTCGATTCCGAGCGATAGGGTAGCGCATTAGCCTTCTTGGTCATGCAGCCATTAAAGCATCTTATTCGACGCTATCTAGAGAGATATTTAGTAGTCCAAATGCAACCAAATCTGTTATGTGAATTTCAAGACGTACTGAAGACATTTCCATTAAACAATTATAACTAAAACTTTGGAGCTTTTGGCGGTGCAAGCAATGAAAATGCATAAGCATGCGTTGCCACCAAGTTCTTGGTATAAAAATGGACACAACTGTTGAATGTCATTATTATCAGCCATGAGGGCCATTACCTTGCAGGAATTGACGGCCGGATGGCGAGCGGTCAAGATGGCAACCTACTGCTCTGGGGGACCCGGGATTGAATCCAGATGGGTCGAGAGGGATGATCCGACCGGATATATCAGGCCCCGTCCCTCACCACCCGGCCGCCCCATTGTGGGCCTGGCCGAACCCATAATGGGCCTGCAAAAAGAGGCCCTCTTAGTGCCCACAGGGCGGAAAGAGTTTGAAAAAAACCTTGCAGGAATGCACATTTTATGAAAATAATGGCAATGCTCCGGCTGCACTGCAGGAATTTCTCCATTATAAGAATTTACGCTGAGGACCGTTGACTCCATTAAGCTATCAGGAGAACGATCACTCAAATCGAAGAAACTGAACGTCCGGAACGTTCAACCCAGTCGAGAGCGTAAACCTATCATTTCACAAGACTTGTTAAAATTACGGTGTATGGAATCATGTCTAACTGCATACTCTTTTTCAGCTTGAACTTTATTATTTTTTTCCCGTTGAATATATGTTCAAGTCCTTCTTCTATACTACGCTCTCTACTTATTTCAATGCTATCTGCGAATTTTTCTAAAATTCTTTGTACATTAAGGATGGAAATTCCAACGGGAGCCAATATATTTTCCCTTCTATTATTTCGTCTATAACTGGTTTAATTTTTTCCTTTACTACCGGACACCTCGATTTCTGATAAATTTAAAATAGTATCTCTTACCTTTTTTGTCTTCAAAGTAATTATCCATTTTGACTTAAACTGCAGTGGACCTATTTCAACAATGTCTTTGGTTTCCAGTATGTCACTTAACGCGGTGAGTCTTTTCTAAAATAAGGACCGCTAAATCTTCACCTCAAGGATGCAGCTTGCACAAAGTGTGGAAGAGATGATAAAACACCTGTTTTAAGAAGCAGTTTAGCTTCCTCTGCGTGGAAATGGATGAATAAAATTTGGAAATGTTATTTAAGTTAAGTTGGGAATATAAAAAGTATCAGAAAAGTTTTTTTTTTCCTCTTATCTTGTAATTTACGTCTTAGACTGGATGATCGCTCTTGCTAAGACGGCGTTACAGAAAGCACGTTGAGAGGGAACTTATGATAAAAGAAAAATTAATGTTACGTAGTTAATGAAAAGAATTAAGGAACAAGCGGCGTTAAAAATGCAACTGGTTATGGAAACGATGAGTGAAAGGAGAAAGAGAAGTGTTATAAAAATATGTAACATCATATATGGAAAAAAGACAATGAAAAGTAGTCTATGTAATAATTGACTACTAATCAGGACGAAGAATGATCTTTAATGTGTTAATTGTTCGAAATTTACCGGTGTTTATATGTTTATTAGCCTGATTAAATCCGTAAATATAATAGCTGAAGTTAGTCATTGTTAATGGTTATAATATTACATAATTAATTAGTTATTTGTTTTTGCTGACCGTACGCGTCGAGTTTATTCTGTATTGCTGATAGTAATTTAATCCTGTACTTTATAACTGTATTAAAAGTTTAATGTTACGTTTTTTTTACCTTGTTTGTCGATGGTGTTATCCAGCGGTATAGGTTTTGTTTGTGACTGCTGTTGAGTGCTGCTTTTTTAATTTTAAGGATAGCCTACATATATACATGTACTTTTAATTTTAAGGATAGCCATACATGTACTTTTACCCTGGTTTTATCTTAAACTTTACTGAGAAGTAAACGAATTCGTAATCGAATCTGTAAGCTATAACAACCACGATGACGAAATGTTGGGTTTCTTCTTGAGCGTGAAGTAAGGTTACGAACTGCTTTTTATATGTATGCCATTATAATGACGGTTTAATTTTTACCTGTTTTATCGATCTTTTTCTTAAATTTGCCCCTTCTATTAAATTAATCTGTATTACTGTCAGTTCTTTCTGACGTTTCTTAATATCGTTAAATGCTTCTTTTCTATTAATATTTCCTTGATTTTTATGAACTAAATTCTCATATATTTCACCTTTCACCTCTTCCCTCTTTCAGGTATGTGAAGTTAGCACTCCCAATTGCGTTTTTTTTCTTTTTCTAATTAATGCCATTCGTTTGCTCACCCTTAAGAAAAAGGTATAGGTCTAGCCCATCCAATTTTTGGACAGTTTTACATAACAGCATCCCCAATTGCATTCTTTTTCCAAAATTATTTATGTCATTCGTTCTTTTATATTATAAGAGAAATGTATGAAAATGTTTTCTCTTACATAAGCAACGAATATTTACTACGATTAATGATTATAAATGATCATTAAAGTTACCTTACGGCAATCTTCTTAAGCCTACTTTTCGAACGATCTGGCAAATTTATAAAATTTTGTAAATTTTAATTAACAAAGAGTAAAAACTTTAACTTGTTATGATTTAACACGAGTAGGAAGCATAGAAAGCAACGGGAAATTACTATGCTTTATTTCTAAAGTAACAATCTCCCTAGTAAGATGAGTGCAAGTAGAAATGGAGAGAAGAACGGCGTTGGGGTTGCAATAATTTCTAACTGCAACAACTCGCTTGGTAGGGCAAAGAAGAGAGATTCCCAGGTTGGTCAGCCTGTGAAACTCCTCACAGAGACTCTTGAGAATTGGAACGTGAAATGTGAGGACTTTAAGGAAGGCTGGAAAATCTGAAGAATGAGATGAAAATAAATAAATTAAACATAGTGGGACTAAGTAAAGTAAGATGGGAAGACTCTAGAGAATTAGTGAGCGACGATATCAAGCTTTACTTTTCAGGTAGAAGGAAAGCAAGGAATGGAGTGGGAATAGCATTGAAAAGTGAAGTTGCATCTTGGGTAATTAAAATTGATTACATAAATGACAGAATCTTAATGGTCAGAATCCAAGTGGAACCAAAAGATCTGATACTTATTCAAGTATATATGCCTACCAGCTCATTCAGATGAGATGAAACATGAACAGTTGGAAGAAATTGTGGAAAAGGAAGAAAGAAATGCCTTCCTATTGTTATTAGGAGATTGGAATGTTGTGGTGAGAAACAAGAGAGGAAAATATGCAGGAACAGGAGAGGAGAAATGTTGATTGAATTCTGCAAAGAATATAGGATGGTGATTACAAATACAAGGTTTCAAAAGCATAAGAGAAGATTATATACATGGAAAGATCCCGGGGACAACAACAGATACCAAACAGACTATATACTAATTAAAAGAGATACAGCAATTCTATTAAGGATGTAAGTACCTATTCAGGTGCAGACATAAACTCAGATTACAACCTCTTACTTGCAAAAGTCAAAATAAGGGTCAAGATCACAGAGGAAATTCTCATTTTTCACTTTTCTTTTTCCTCTTTGAAATATGCTACTCTAATATTTCTTTAACTTTATATTTCCTTTTTATTTGTTTTATCCAGGAGCATTTGGGAGAAAGACTTTTTCTCTCCCATCACCATTATCATAAATATTACGACGTTACCATTCATCATACAAGTTTTTCTCCCGAAATCTCAGAGGATAAGAGCTTTTTCATTTTTACTTTCTACTTTATTATGAGTTTTGTTCATTTGGTTGAGATAATGCACATTTTAACGTCAATTTGACGTCATTTTAAAAGTTGTTCATTGTAAAACCAGAATCACTAGATAGATCATCATTGAACTCTCGCTAAATATAATAGAAGTGAAGGATAGTGACAGTTGTCCATATCTTTCACTTCTACTTCACATGGCCCTCGTCAAAAGAAAAGCGTCATAGAAAAATTGTAAACTTTACTTTTTGTTGCAAGAATCAAACAAGTGTATAAATGTAGTAATTTAGTATATGCAAAGTTATTAGGTTTTAATGCTCACAATTTTTCGCGATTTTAATAAATTTTACGTGTTTTTTTTTTGTATTAAGTTTTGTTAACATAAAAATATCGTAACTTCTTATGGAAGGAATATTTAAGTTATCCGCAAAGAAAATAAAAATAAACGATATTATTTATTTACAAGTCATTTAGGCTATTTTCAAAAGGCTTAAAGTTGAAAATATATATATATATATATATATATATATATTTNATATATATATTACAATAATAACATGCAATATTGCAAATAAAACATGTAAAAAGTAACAAGTACATATTATAAATATAAATTGCATGCTTTATTTCAGGTGAGAAAATTTTCTATTGGTTTTTATTTTACTTTTAGACTTTACTTTGGAATTAATGTCTTGTAAAAATAAATTGAATGTTACAAAAAAATGATTAATTTTAGCAGTAAGAAACATATTATGGTCTTCAATATCGCAGCCCACCCGAAACAAATAAAGTTTGCCATCAGACAAAACAAAGCAGCAATAATAACTTCAAAATATATATACTGTACAGTATCTGATATGAATTAGATTTTTAATAACACGTACACAATACACTCCAGTAGTTTGGGTGGGAAAATTTTTTAGTATTTAGGATTAGGAAAATTAGGAAAAATTGCAGGAATTACATCCTCAGTCAATCCCCATTTTCCTCTTTCTATTTCAATTTTTTTTCCTCATTAATTACATGTTCGTATTTTGTTTTTAATATTGATAGATAAAATTCGTTAGATAAACATCAAAAATATAACACGATGTCAATGGTTTATCACCTTGTTTAGGTGATAAACCATTTTGTCTAGCTGATTACTTGATTTTTTTAAAATTTTAAACAAATGTCTTTTCCACAATTTATATCCCGAGTTACAATTCGGGAGTAGCCTAACAGGTCATCAGTATATAGTAGAAACACTAAAAATTACGTACAGTACAACTAGGATGTAAAGTCGTGCAAGTAGGTTTTAGTTACTACTACCGTAATTTAAAATAAAATATAAAATATCTTACACACTTTCAATCTTAACAAGTCTTTATCTAACATAGTTTAAACATTTTCGACTTAGCCTACTTTTCTCAATTACAGAAAAATTTCTTAATAAAGCAAAATTCCAAGTTTTATTTCCCCCCTAGCAATTCGAATATTCTATCATAGAAAAAGCATACAAATTACAAATAATACACACGAGAACCATGAAGGTCACGGTATAGATTTCCTGCTATCTGCGTGCTGTAAACTGCACGTTCCTTCGAGTTCGAGCCACAGAATTCCTTTTATAATTTCAATACAGTATTTTTTTCATTTAGAAGTTACTCTTGACCAGGGGCGGACTAAGGCCTAGGCAACCTAGGCACGTGCCTAGGGCCCGTAATTTTTGGGGCCCCAAAAATTAGGTTTTTAATTTTTTAATTTTAAAAATAGGCCCGGAATTACAATGTTGCCTAGGGCCCGCTTTAGCCTTAGTCCGCCTCTGCTCTTGACACATAATTAAAAGCTTTAACTAAGTAGGTTTTAAAATAAAAAGCTATGTCAATGGTACCTATAATAAAGTACGAGAATGAATTTATTTAGTTTTGAAATGAAAAATTTGATAAGAAATTTGGAAATATTTCTTAAAGTAAAAATGTATTTAGTTTTCTATATTCACGTGAATTTTTGCATTACAGAAACTTCAAACAGATAGAGCAAACATTTTTATAAATTAAAATTTGATTGATAAAAGAAAACCATTCTCACAAACTTTACAAATTATGTAAAGTAAACCTTCAAAAGTGTTTGCAAGAGATAATAATTTCCTTCATTTAGGAACTTTCTTGTGCATATAAACTAAATTTATTTTTTTTTAAATAGAGAATTAAATAAGTATATTTATAAAAGTTTATTAAACAGTAGACAATAACAACAAATAGAAATGTCATCTTCAACTTTATTTATAATTTTATAATAAAATGATTATTAAACAACAATTATTCATTAGAATATTCAATTTGTACTGTAACATTACTCTCAATTATTATGAAATATAATTTAATTGACTTAAAGTTTTAATTTCAATTACTATATTTTATTTTAAATTTTTAAAGTGTGTTTCAATCCACAAACAACATATTATAACATTTATTCTGTTTAATAAGTTACATAATGTTGTTATACAACCTGTCAGAAAACTAAAACTTTACTACAAACAGTCTATAGACTAGTACTGATCCAAGAACCATATTTTAATGTAATTTAAAAAGGGTTAATTAAACCACTTTTATGATGCATACTACAAACATTTTATAAGTGTTAAATATTAAAACAGTTTATATACTGGATTTTTGTTTTCATTTAACAATATAAAATATTTAAAAGAAATCTCTATTAATGACCCGATACTATACAGTATGTTCCAATTTCATTAAAACTGTGACTTCAGAAAATACAACAGGTTCACACTGAATGACAGTATATGCATCAAAAAGCATTATTTGTATCAAAATATGAATTTATAAAAGCAATAATAATTATAAAATATGCACTAAATTTCAGTTGAAAGTTTTCTTATTGAATACATTCAAGCAATCGTGTATGGTTGTTGTTCCTGATAAAATAAAATATCAAATAGAAGAGGAAAATAATTTTCTGTAGTCTTCTAAGTAAGTAATCATTTATTATATGTAATACTAGCAGACCCCGCCACGCGTTGTTGTGGCTCAAAATGTATCTATTATAAATGTATAACACTTCCCCCGTGGGGGGAATTTTTCAAAAAAATTTCTTAGTGTACATTTTCTTGTCGTACCCTATTAAAACGCAATCAAAAACGCAAAAAACCGCATCTAAAATAGTATAAATAGAAGCAGAGTTCTTTACGGTAAGCCTTAATCCTAACCATCTTCCCCCAGTGGGGGGAATTTCGACATGTATATTATATAAAAACACGTGCGTATTCGAATGCAGCGTTGTGTCAAAATTTAAAAGGAATCGGTAGGAACAAACGAACATTACATTTTTATTTATATAAATAGATAGAAGATGATCCACTTTAGTTCATTTTCACAGAAAAGCGTAATGCCTCGCAGAAAAGCAAACTTAGGGCGTCGTACTTGTAGAGCCATCTGTTGGACATAAAAGCCTTAACCTAGATTATATCTTTTAATTTATATGAATGTTTAACGGAATAATATATAGCCTATGTCCACCCTGAGGTTCCATTCTGAATATTGGTGAAAGAATTTTCGAAATCGGATGAGTAGTTTCGGAGATTACCCGCTACATTCAAACTTACAAACATTACCTGCTTATAATACTAATTAGTATAGATTACAAAGCACACAGCAGAAATTTTCACAATAGTTCATAAATACTAATAATAATTTAATTCATATAAATAAGATGTTTTTGAAAAATAAATAATTAGTGAGTATTTATTATGATAATATCATGTGGTTCTTGTGATAGGCCTAAATATATATTTTTTTAAATCTGAAAAAGCAATGTTTAATTAATGTCCTAAAAACATTTTTTAAACCAAAGCTGCACTTATATGGAGGTAATTCTCTTTCTCGAGGTGTTTTTCTTCTTAATTGTAGACTGGGTGGAAGATTTGGAACATCAAAAAGGGTCGGAATTGCATTCCATTGCAATAATTTTCTTCCATCCGCTCTTTTAAGTTCAAATTGTGACTCCTCAAAATGTATCTTAAAATTTTAGTTACATTACATTACAAAAGTTACTTTAAACACTTGGTAAATTTATATTTTCAACATTATTCTATCCATTAGCATCACACAGCCTCGAACTCTCAGTTGGTTTCTATTTATCTCTTCTGCAATATTGATGAAATTTAGCTCTCCTGAATTTGTCAGCGGGAAAGTCGAACTAGTTAAGCGAGAATGACGTCATCGTTGTTCTTACTTCCGTCTGTTTACAACAAAATGATTGTTTCTAAAATCAGTTATGAATGTTGCTACTGTAGTTTTATCCGAATATTTTTCTCAGATTGCTTCGTATAGGCAGTAATTTGTGTCATTTAGCTTTTAATCCGCAATTTATACATTCGAATGAATTTAGAAACATAAATATCGCCGGACGCCATTTTTTACCATGTAAAGTAATCCATTCATTCCCTCGTGAATTTCGTTAGTTTCGTTTGAAACGTCATCAGAATTGGTACTCGATGACCGGCTCGTTAGTAATTCGTTTAAGGCCGAGATTCCACTAATATAATTATTTTTAATCACACGACCTATTTGTGTTTGCAATTGGATTGCGGTGGAGATCCTGCTAACTAGCAAAGTTTTTACGGCGACGATACTGCCACCAAGTGTCGAAAGTAAGCAGTTTTTTCGCGCGCAAATTGATGGAAGGAAAGCATCGCATCTTGGTTGATCATAACTAATGTTCAAACTAATCAAAAAATTTCACAAGCACCAAAACGATGAGAACTAGAGATAGAATAGAGAGAATGTGCATAAAATCTCGTTTCCCGCAATGTGCTGACGACGTAGAAGTACACCGACTTCTAATTGGTTATGATACCGTTTTACGGACCTATTCGAGTAGAAAGTTCGACTCGTTCGACTTTACGAACGTACCCTTTCTAAACGAAAGGAACAGGCTGTGAAATTTTATTTCAATTGATTTTCATTGCAGGTTAGGTTCGTTTAGCATAGAGAAGACAGTTGGAGATTGATATCACTTCGAAAGCATTATCTACGATTAGTTAATAAAAATGTGCCCTATCTATTATTCCCGCCCATCTTTATTTATTGACGAGTTAAGTTGCGATACATCGTCTATATTCAACAAACAATCCATCGGTATTTTAACACGTGTAAGAATGAAAATTTTATTTCATTTCATTAAAATATGAATATATAATTTACATTTAAAATTATCTCAGTTTTATTGATCCATTAATATTTAAGACGTTTACCGAACTATGATTCCGAATAGCGAATAGTTTATTGGTTATGTCGTATATTATGAGTTAAAATACCGGTTTTAGTAACATATATTGCCACCTATTGACGAAATTTGAAATTTAAATATAAAATTTTCAAATATTTCTTATATTCCAGGTGAGAAAACGAACAACATATGTTTTCGGGTGTAAAGATTTTAATACTGCGTCGCGGTTCCGGCAATTGCGGTAATGTAACAACTGCGGATCGTTTAAGGTACGTTAAAATTTAATAATATTGATATAATTAATAATTGACATTTAAATTCCTATTCTTACAAACAAGGAATTATTTATTGGAAGTTGGAATTAAATGCGAATGCGTGGATACTAGATGTTTTAATCCTAAAGAATGTCAAAATTTTGATGCTGTTATTGCTATTCATGCTTATCATTGTGCTCCTATTTTGAAAGGTTTGTTTATTTTATACAGTTTATTATAGTTTTATCTTTAAACAGAAATTTATAAATCATTGATTATGCAATTAATTGCTATGCCATTTTTTATTCTAAATATCAAATAACAAAAATAATTTGTATAAATTTATATTTGTGATTACAAATGTAAATTTTTGTGTAAAAAAATTTCCAAATTAATGGTTTTGTTGAATATTTTTATAAAATTATAAAATTATTATTATA